CGACGTGGAGCTCTTATGCAGGCCCCTCGGCCGCACCATCGCCCCGTCGTCTTTATTTGACGACGTGGAGCTCTTATGCAGGCCCCTCGGCCACACATCGCCCCGTCGTCTTTATTTGAAGACGTGGAGCTCTATGCAGGCCCCTCAGCCATACATCGCCTCGTTGTCCTTATTCGACAACGTGGAGCTCTCGTGCAGGCCTCTCGCCCATTAGCCTCCCAGTCATCTTTATTTGATGACATGGAGCTCATTTTGGCCCATCGGCCTTATGTTCTGGTCATCTTTATTTGATGAACCAGACATCATATTGTGGACGACCGCTCGACCCATCCCTTAGTCATCTTTATTTGATGACTAAGACTACTGATCAGGATGAGCTACCCACATCTAGAGATCGGCCTCGGCCATCCCCCCAGCAGACGAGCACCGCTGCAGCTCCATCTCCAGGCCGAAGGGCTTGCACTTTTTGTTTCATTTTGGGGGCATCCGGTGTACTCTTTTTCCCTCATTAGGATTTTTCCCACGGGGTTTTTCCTAATGAGGTTTTTAACGAGGCATCTCCCCATCGTGGATCAAAAGGTGTCAACCCTCAGCCCCCTGTTGAAGACATCATCCGACACGCATTGCTCTACTCCTCTTCACCTCATTACACTCGCCTCAAGGAGTGGGGGACTGGAAGAGAGGGGGACTTAGCACCTCCGCAATGGAAAAGAAGCAGAAATTCAAATTTTTGTTCACGAAGTTTGCTCACCAGACGACGACAGATCAACACACAGTTCTACTCTCTTTCGCCTCGAATACTCTCGACTCAGAGAGTGGGGGACTCCTGATAGAGTATATAGACTCGGACCCCCGGGTCTCATGACTATGGGACCCGGACAGCGGCCCCATACGCTCAGTAGATAGCATTTATTTCATTGTACACTCTATTTTATTCATGTATACCCGTTAGAATAGATTAAATACCATTTGTTAGCCATTTATTGGCCTTTTGTTGTAACTGGACCTTCCAGGCCCAAGCCTGGAGGCCCATCCCACTTTTCTCCTATAAATACTCCTTATTGGAGCCATGTAAAGGGTTGAAAATTCATTGTATATATCACTTTATCTCTCTAGCTCTCCCTTCTCTCTAGGAGTTAATACTCCATCATACATAGTTAATAAAATATAATGATAGAGATGAATAATACTTTCATCACATCACATTCTCAAGTGGTCACGCCCCAAAATCTGGAAAACATATGGACAAGAACCAACGTCTACAAAAGGGTAACAAAACAGAAGACGGATTGTATAGTCGAAACAAGAGAATGGAAAATAAGAGTCTAAATAACAAAGACCAATTTCGAATAGCTCAGAGCCTCAGAATGCAAACTTTTATTCATAAGGGATTGAGAACATCTATTGAAGTTTAGATACCAATTACGAATCAAAAGAGCAATGCCACATTTTGTATCCACTCCTCTTGATTTTAAAAGTGAAGTTGAACTTTTGAACCTTACTTGTTAAACCTGTTTCAACAATCAAATAACATAATAGAGCAGAGTAGATGAGAATAATAGTTCTTATTCATTGATAGAATGATGTAGAATTTCAGCACATGTCATGAACAGCCGCTACTTTCCCTCCTTAGAGAGAGAGAGCAGCGTATAAAGCTAGTCTATTCTGTATGATGCCTTAGGTCTGGAGACTCAACCTCCAGACTATTTACAGGTCTGTAGGTTGAGCCCTTTTACAATGGGCTTGCATAATGACAATTGGGCTTTCAACAATAAATTGACTCGGTCTATTAACTAGTCTATTAACAACACAAATACACATAAATTAAAACATGATTTAACACCACAAAATATCTCTAACAATCTCCCTTTTGGTGTTCAATCGTGTTCAATCAGCATTGCAGCGCGAGTATCTTTGTGTTTGTGTTGAATCTGCAGTTCAACTTCCTTTTTCTTCTTGAAAAGGCTTTGTGAAGAAACCCTTACAATCTTTCCCTATGTGTTATTCCCGAAATCTGTGATGTTTGGGGTTGAGGGATTCTTCTCCATCTTGCTTGTAATTCGTGCCTTGCAGAAGTTGCTCTTGATCAGCTAGAATGAAGTCTTATGGTGCCTTCAGAATGATTGTTCTTGATGTGTTTCAGGCGCACACAGATTCGTCTCCAGTATTTGATCATCTGACCTCTGTATCCTCCGAAATGTAGCCTTTTCTGACTATTCAATCGTGAATGCTTTTGAGGAATAATTGTCGGTGGCACAACGGAAAAGAAAAAATTCCACTTTTGGTCCCGTGACTATTATACCACTTCCACATTTAGTCCCTTACTTTCAGATTGTCCACATTTAGTCCGTGACTATTATCCCCTCACCACCCCTCATCCTTCCGACCAAAATTCCGGCAAATTTAATGCAGATTTTAGGTATGAAAAACCAAATTTAATGCAAAGACTGATATGAAAAACCCAACCTTATATAAATTTTAATGCGAAAACTGATTCTGTGGCTGATAAGTGGACTAAATTTGCCCGAATTTTGACCCGAAGGATGAGGGGTGGTGAGGGGATAATGGTCACGGACTAAATGTGGACAATCTAAAAGTAAGGGGCTAAATGTGGAAGTGGTATAATAGTCATGGGACCAAAAGTGGATTTTTTTCCAACGGAAAATGATGGTTGACTTGTGAACATAACTTACCATTGGATTTGAAGCTGACTTGGCATTTGATGAACATGAGAGAGTAGAGAGCCATCATTTTTGTGACGGAGGAGAGAAGTGTTTGAGAATGATTTTTGAGAGTAAACGGCACGTGGATCACTCCCCCCTCATGACGGTCCGATGAATCGAGACATCATGCCTTTATTCTTTTATTATGGAAAATAAAATAAAACAGAAAAGAAAATGATAAGATAAGGATCGAAGACACCATGGTGTTCCGTTATCACAACATCAATGTAAAGACTGATGTGTGTCCTGTATATAATGATAGAAACATTGTAGCTCTAACGGGACTTCCAACCAATCATTGTGAAGCATCTGAAGTAGATGCCACTCTGGTTGTTATGACATGATCACTAGGATCGACATAGATAATTGTAGCCCCCCGGGGTCATGTAGACGCTCCGCTATCATCACACGACCTGCAACTGACTCTAAAAATGTGTCTGTGTCCTAGAAAGTTCAAAACGTTTCCCGATCAGTTAGCTCTCCAGATTACTCTCATTTTAGTCGGATTCCGGCCACCCCAGGTCCGACGATCCATCAACATGTTTGTAGGTTGAGCCCTTTTACAATGAGCTTGCACAATGACAATTGTACTTTTAACAATAAATTGATCCGGTCTATTAACTAATCCAATAACAACACAAATACACATAGATTAAAACATGATTTAATAACACAATATATCTCTAACATTACTAGGTGAATCCATAACATACTATATCTTCCTTGACTCGCATCACAAAACCGTCTACATCTTTCAAGCCGACGTGGTCTGTCAAGAGGAGGAGGAGGAGGAGGCGACTAGATATGGCACATGAGGATGAGGCGAGTGTAGTTACTTTCCAGGATGAAGAAAGTAGCGGGGGGAGGAGGGTTGAGGGTCTTGTTTGCCTGGAAGAAAATCATTAAAACAAGTCACCTCAATTGTTCGAGTACCTCATGACCTTGCGTTGCTGTTTTTTTTATCTGATCATCAAGTTTGACTTTTTAATTATCCCACTTGCATTACAATTTCCTCAAACCATGATTTTATTAATAAAGTTTAAATAGCTATCTTTTAAAAAAGTCATATAAGTTGCAACTCAAGTACATCATAGGAAAATCAGAAATCAACTTACTAGATTACAAATTTGGCTTTTTTTTACATAAAGTTCATTGTGTTAGAGCCCGCTTGGTGACTATATTTTTCGGCTTATCAAGCATCAACTTTTTCATCAAACATGTAACTTTTGATTTCATGCGCTGAAGTGTGTAATAATAAAGGCAAATAAGGTTGAAATTACTTTTATGACTCCATCAATTACTATGTATGATCATTCTAGCCATTTATATACTTCCTCCATTCTTTTTTAGTTGCAACAATCACTTTTCACGTTGCCAACACACAACTTTGACTGTCATTATATTTAATTCCGTGTTAGTAAAAATAAAATAAAAATCAGATTATAAAACATAGTGATGAGACAAATTTAACAATATTTTTCAAAAATAATAATTCACATATATTAATAAATAAAATGAAGTCAAAGTAAAGTACATGAACAATGTATATATAATTTTATTAATAACAAATATTGTAAATAATTTTCTCAGAAATCAATAGAATAAGCTAATTCAACCTCTTCGGTTAGAACTTCTCAGATTTCAGCAGAATCGGTCGATTCAACCAATTGTAGTGTTACAAAACAAGCTTTTAATTAAGAGTTTATTTAGAGTTTTTTTGGTGACACTGGTTTTCGGATTATCAAGCTTATCACTCAACTTTTTTCACCAAACACGTAACTTTTGATTCCGCACGGTGAATCATGTAACAAAAAAAAGTAAGGTTAAAACTATTTTTCTGAATGTATCAACTGAAGTCACCGTAGATGATCGTTTTAACTATGTTTTGTAAAAACAAAATATTTATTTTTTAATAAAAAATACGTGGTATTTGAATTTTTTATACGAAGTACTTCGTATATAAGTAGAAGAAATAATTACATAAATATGACCAAACTAAAGATGATTTACAAAAATATGACTAGTGACTAGAGTAGTAATGAAATCATAGTAATTGATGTTCAAGTTTTGAGCTTAAATTAACACAACACCACATTGTAGTAATGAATAGTCATATTTATGTAAATATGTTTTATTTTAGTATTATTCTTGTAAAAAACCCAAGTAGAATCCGGTAATACAACTATTTTAGCTGGGAATTAATAAATTTCGAAAGAATATTGCAGATACGGCGCCGTTTTGTGCAGATAGGTAGTTAGGCACTGCGTAAAGTACCGCCTAGAACGCTGCCCTATTCTATATCTCCCTTCTCTCTAGATTCTTCGCCTGAACTCGCGATGTCGACGGTGCCTTCAACATCCGCATCTGCTTCGTCATCTTCTTCGCAGTACACGTACTTCAATGGCTCATACTTCCCGACGCCGTTTCACCTCCAACAACAGCCGTCGCAATCATACATCGGCGCTGCCCCTCCGCCGAGTCAGCTCCCTGCTCCTCCCGTTGTTCCTACTGTATATCCACCCCCGCCCCCTCTACCTGGCGTGTATTCGTTGCCCCAGTTCCAACAAGTAAGCTTTTAAATCACGCAGTGTTTGAAATACTCAATAGAAAAGCCCGATTTGACAAGGCACATGGCTATATCCTGCTTCAATTGTACATTTTCATATGTTACATTTTGTTTCAATTGACAGGCGCAACAGCTGTTTCAAAGGGATGCCCAAACAATCACACCAGAAGCACTCGAAAATGTGAAAGCTGCACTTGCAAGCAGTGATATTGAGCACAAAGTGGAGGCTAAGAAGAAAGCGTTGCCCCGTAAAGCCGCAGGGCAAAGTTGGGAGGACCCAACTCTCGCTGATTGGCCAGAAAGTATGTTTTCTTAATCCATTATTTATTTCCAGTCTGTTATTCACAGGAGAGTCTATTTCTGTCTTATTTGAACTTTAACTTAATCTTTCTAGCTGTTTCAATTTATATATGAGTATGATTTTTCGGGTGTAGACAAAATTTCATGTTAAATTGATAGCAATGCAAGTTATCACTAGGTTTTCATTAGTGAGGGAAAACAGTCTGGCATTTTTTACTTTTACTGTTTTACAAACTTAGATTATGAACTATGTCAATTTATTTGGAGAACCATCTCATCTTAACCTCCAATTGATGAAAATAGTAGAGATTATATCTTGAACTAAAACTTTCTTGCATATATGTTGAGAGAAAACTTGGCTATGACTTATGAGCATATAATGCTGATCTCATGGCACGATGAGCATTGTAGGACTACTCATAACTAAATAGTTTGGAAGATATGCAATGTTTTGATCTCAGCTCCTTTCAAAAGTAATACTATCTTTGTCTCACTGATATTGGGACATTGAGAAGCGATGTGATTATTAAGAAAGTTGATTTGGCTGGTATTGCATTGGTAACATAAGAATAATGTAAGAATGAATTAGAACTACTCAAATATTACCAAATATGACATGAGTCAAGCTTAATGGGGCGCACAAAAAAGAAAGATGAGACAAAGATGGTGGGACAGGGATTAACTTTTTATCGAGCAATCAATGCCACTTTAGTGATCTTTGAGGTGATGAAAGTGGGATAAGGTGAATTATATATCAATATTGAAGTCTATACTAGCAACTTACTAGTTACAACTGACAAGCTTGAATTTATGATACTACGTAAAACAAATGCTATATGACATCATATTATCCTTTTTATGGAACCCAATATATGCTTTTGTAAGCTATGAATCTAACATTTTGACAAGGAATTTTGTTGGAGACCAATAGACTGTAGTTTCTAACCTCGTTGAAATAAAAAAAAATCAATCCATCAGGATAAATCACTTTATCCTATTTTTGGAGACCAATAGACAGTGGTTTCTAACCTCGTTGAAATAAAAAAAATCGATCCATCAGGATAAATCAATTTATCCCGTTTTTGACATTTTGACATAATATTTCAGCTTTTCTTAAGCCAACAGATGGAAAACATTTTTTTAAGCTTTTGCAAACACTCCTTAAATCTCTATTTCTTAACTCTAGGGGTGATAAACATGTTGCGATAACAGCGGCTTCCGCATTTTGCAGATGATTATCGTCTGTTTTGTGGTGATCTTGGAAACGAGGTGAATGATGATGTTTTATCAAAAGCATTTTCAAGATTCCCTTCTTTTAACATGGCAAGGGTGAGTTATGTTTGAAGTCATGTCTGCTTTTCCGTGTTCCCGTGATGTTTTGCTATGATTTATATGAATTTTTGCATATCGAATGTCTCGCATTTATTAAACTTGGACAGAGAACTATCTTTTGTCCGAGACTCCGAGATGTAATGAGATCTTCTAAAGCGTAAGTGAAATGGTGCTGCAGATTTTTTTTCCGGTTTGAACCAAAAACCCGAGAGTTTTTGGGTGCTGCAGATATTTGTATGCATGAGTAGAGATCAGCTAATGTTAGTTTCTTGCAATTTAGTTCACATGTTGGATAATGATTATGGTTCTGTTTGAATGTTAGTCTGGTGCCCTGTGCCCACAAATGGGTTTGTTCCTGATAGCAGGGAATAGAGATTAGTCATTGTTAGTTTCATGGTATTCTATTCATGCAATTTTGGTTTAGAGCAAAATGGCTCACTTAACGGTTTGCGCTTCTTTGTAATGAAAAATCAGTTACTCCATGCAATTTTTGACGCGATTTTCACCATGGGTCATTCGGAAACAGTCTTTCTTTGCGTTAGCACACGGGTTAGGCTGCGTACATCTGACCCCCTTACCCCACCATAAGTCCCTAGGTGGGAGCCTTTGGGGTACTGTTGTTGTTATTGTTGCATTGTTCCATTGTAATTTTATTGCTAGTTCCCTCAAATGGTCTTCTTCGTAAAAGGGAGGATGTAGCCTGTGGTGTTTCTATATTATGCTAGATGGTGGATTCAGACCTCTTTTCCCCCCAACTCTGCCTCCCCACATCTTTGACCAATAAAAAGAGGGACATCCTGGCGTATAGCATAAGGGCATGCAATTGTTGAAGCTCTAACTCATCCCAAAGAATCCGTGAAAAGTTATATTAACTTCACGTCCTCACTCTTATACCTAATAAAGAACCAATATGGCATGCTCAACGCACCTCAACCCAAGCCGGGTAGGATGACCTAAAGGATGGACATATGGGCTGGGCCTCAACAAGCTGCCCGCCTGCCCCCAACCATCAATTGGGCCGGTGACCTACAAACCACTACAGGACCAGATTTTAATATCACGTAAATTGAGCATTTGAGATTTTGAGCCTAATGCACCTTAAAAAATGCTTATTAGGTTGACCTCACACTTATATACCAATCAAACCCAGTAACCAACTCATGTGGTACTCAACTTAATTAATAGCTCTGACTTCTGAATGCACTATCAACATTGCAGGTTGTGCGTGACAAGCGTACTGGTAAAACTAAAGGCTTTGGATTTGTAAGTTTTTCAAACCCTTTGGACCTTGCTGCAGCTCTTAAAGAAATGAACGGTAGGTAATATTTTCACATCTACAGATTTTTGGATCTCTTATGCGTGTTTCGGGTAGGACCTGTAAATACCACATTAAAATGTGAAAAGACTCATGCTGTCTCTGAAAGGTAGGTAGTAGAGATCCAATTAAAACCTAGGGCCGTAAGTGCTTGTATCTTGGTTCCTTTGCTAAGTGCATCCTTCATTGTATCATCAGGTAAATATGTCGGGAATAGACCAATTAAACTTAGGAAGAGCAAGTGGCAGGACAGGATTGATGTTGAAGCTGTAGAAAGACAAAAGGTTAGAGACAATTTCATTCCCCCCCCACACACACACAGAAGCCTAAGGCTATATTTGGAATGAGAAAAGAGTACTAAAGGAAGAAAATAGGAAGGAAAGAAAATTTGAAGAAAAGGGTTGAACTCATTAAACTTATTTTAGATTTTGTTTACACGTATTACGACAAATCTAAATATATTTATGATCCCTGCACAATAGATATGCTACATGTCTACATCAGTCACTAATATATTTTTGTTCAAACTTGTATTTATTTCTGTTCCCTGCGCTATAATATGCTACAACAGTTCTCACTGATATATTTTGTTCGAACTTATCTATTTGTTTCTATTATATACCTACTAAGACTTCTAAATATAAAAAAAGTAATATATGATCATGTTTCATTTTCCTTTGAATTTTCCTAGGTAGAACCATAGAACTGAACATAAAAAACTCAATCTCAACCCACAATCTCACCAGCCCTGCTGCTGTAGTCTTGTCCATGTTACATGTGTAGGTATTATCCATATGGTGTTTGAGATGAGAAATTACACTCTTCAACACACATTGCATCAGAGAGTGTAGTCCAACCGTTCCAAATCTGCATGAGAACAACCCATACAAATACTACTAAATTAACTATTTGTAGCATCTTCATATTGTCCTTTAACCTACCATTAACATTATTCTATAAAATAGTAAATTATAATAAAGAGAAAATTACACCGTGTTTTTGAAGTATAAAAACCATGGCAAACACTTTTATAATAGATGCAATTTCCAAATGAGTTTATTTAGAAATAATGGCTAAAGTTTTATTTTATTATCTTAGAAATAATATCAAGCTAAAATATTTACACTAGATGAGTGCTCTGACTTCATCCCTGCATAACACGCTCCTTAGTTCCTAGTTCCTACCCTCCCCAACCACATTTATTAAGGTCATGTTTGGAACTGGCTTCCCTCTGCGTTGCCTTCTCTAATATTCCATCCAATGAGATCTCCACCATTGGTCTATCTTCTCTTTCCAGCTGACGAGATGAGTGGTGGAAATCTCCTTCATAATACCCATCCAGGATGGAGATCTCCTGGATGGGTAATAGGAGAGTGAACCACAGGAGGGATGTCATGTATTATTGTACTTGAATTGACTACTTTTTATGTCATGATAGAACCACGCTTACAAGAAGGGGAAAATGTCAAAGAGGAGTGTATTGCATAAGTGAGCACTATTATGAAGTTGAGCTTTGACTGTATGGAACATTTGGGCGTTTGTCTTGCTCGCATATGCATCCCATGGGTGAATTGCTCCCACTTGATGCAGTGAGTGTGTACACGTTCTGATATTTGCTACTTTTCTGTATTTGTTTTTATCCTTAAGACCATTTTGAGAAGTTCCAGATGAAAAACTCCCAGTATGAATGTATGCGCTTTCAGAGTTTCAGCCTCATGGTGAAAATTAAAAAACTTAATTTCATTTATTGGGATGAGATGTATTTGCCTATTTGGCTATTTGAGTCACATAAAACTATTAACAGAATCAAGTCCATGTACTGATGTACATATGCATCTTTGCAATTTCCACATAGCTACTCTAGTTTATTATACATTTATACGTAGTACTTGTTAACTAATGCATCACCCCTGTGCTTCTTGTTTATAGTGGTTTACTTTATAATGTACAAAAAATGGTGTGGCAAATTGTAATTTATTTGTATTTGTTTTGATAACATAATGTCATAAAGAGAAATACTGAAATAGAGACAAAGTTATACTCCGTACACCAATTAGAGCACACGTCAGGTTATGGTTGGACTCGGGTTGGGCCACCCGGCCCGTGGACCGGACCGGCCCGCTACTGTGCGGGACCGGGACCGGCCCGGTTCTTGGGTCCGGGTCTGGGTCGGGCCTAGGCCCGGGGGGTAGGGCGGGTCTGGGCTCGGGTCTCAAATTTGGTGAACCGGCCCGGGCCAAATTGATTTTTTTTTTTTTTTTTTCATTTTTGGGGTTCCACCCAGGTTGGGCTTGATGGGTAGGATGGGTTTGGGAGGGTGGGGGTGAGGGGGGGGGGGGGGGGGTTAGGAAAGCAAAAAAAAATCCAAATCGGAGGCCCGGACTGGACCCGGTGGCTACCTGGGCCGGTCCTGGGTCCACCATTCCTGAACCGCCGGCTAGGGGTGGACCGGTTTCGGTTCGGGCCTGGGCCCGGCTGGGCCTCGGTTCAAGAAGGGGAGGCTCAGAACCGGCCCGGGTAACCCCTGGGTCCGGGCCGGGCCTCGGTTCTATTTTTTTTTTTGGCTTTACCTAGTTAACCCCCAACCCTCCCCCACACCCCCAAACCAACCCTAACCACCTCAAATGACCCAAAATGCCCACCCCAACCCAAAAACTTAAAAAAATTCAAAAAAAAAAAAAATAAAAAAAATTGGCCCGTGCCGGGCCCGAACCGGCCGGGCCGGTTCACCTTTTGAAGGGCCCGAGCCCGAACCGCCATCCCACCGGGCCGGTTGGCCCGAACCGGGCCCGCACAGTAGCGGGCCAGTCCGGTTCCGCGCCGGTTGGCCCGGCCCGAGTCCACTCCTACCGCCGGCCCCCCAGGCCTAGGCCCGACCCGGACCTGGCCCGGACCCGAGTCCACCCCTACGTTAGGTATAGAAACCTTGAGATAAACTTGCTCACTCCAACGTAAAGATGTATTAATCTTATTTCATCCTGCTTTGTTGAGTTGGAATGAAAAATAGGAGTGGCTGTCTACCCTGCCTTCTACTTCCAGCAAGGCTATCAAACAGCCAAGTCACCAAATCGCTTATTTTACTACCTACGACGTATTTTATTTTTCTGCCGGACATAATTATATAAATGCGGAGTTCTCGTTAGACCTACAAAAGTGCAGAATTCCTTCTATTTTTCCTTTCCGACAACACAACACCCGGCCTTGTGATACAACGTCACTCCTCGCCTAAGCGGCAGCGGTGGGCACCCCCCTTTTCTCCGGCAACCTTCTTCTCCGGCTTGTTTTATTTTCCGGCACCGGGAAAAATGGTGGTTTCATTTATGAAGAGACTGGTGGTAACATATATATATATATATATATATATATATATATATAGCATGTTCAGAGGAAGAAGGTGACCACCATAGACGTGGTCTATGCTCACAAGAGACAAAGAAGGACCGTGTATGGATTTAGCTATTAAGTGCACAAATCTATGTTTTAAAAAATTTACGTGAGTTGGGTAAGGGAGTCTGGTGACAGCCCCTACGGTACAATGCACTTCTCTCTCGACGGTATATGATTTGAGCATGCGGAGTAATTAATTTAAATGTTAAGGAGTATTATTTATAGAATAGTAGAACGAATAGATACAATTGGAGATGCAACGTGATTGTAAATAGCTCTTCGTCCATATCAGCTCCATAGGCCGTTTATTTAGATTATGTGTCCATTTTTTGCGGGTTGCAATCCATATTACCACATCAGCTTCATACACCTCTTTTTCCTTTGCCCCTTTACTTGTAGGGTGTGGCAGCACATAAGGAACTGGATGGGATTAAGGCATGAGATGACCACCTTGCTAAGTGTCGTGAAGTGGATTATGAAGACTCATAGAGGATCGACGCTGAAGGCAAAGGCAGCCCGCCTAGCATTCTGCGCCGCGGTGTATTATATTTGGCATGCGCGTAATGAGATACGATTTGATGGGGGATCAAAGACGGAGGAGGATATTATTGTGAAGATCAAGCAAGTGGTGTATAAGGTCCTATACAACTTATACCCACATGAACTGATCAACTTTTGATGGTGGATGCCGAAGCCGCGGCATAACCTCCTTGGACTTGAGTGTGCACTCTGCAACACATCAGACTTCTGGTTGGGGCTAAGGGGAGAATTCACTATAACCTCCTCTTGGCTAGGTTCTTTGCATTTGTTTTGATGTACTATTATGATCTATGTGCGTGCAACACTCATTTCTTTTTCTGATTTTTGGGCATTTAGTATTGTATACTTAGGCCCTTTTTGAGTGTTGACCTTAGATTAGATCGAATAAAAACCTCTCCTAACCCCTACACTAGGTAGGGGGGGGGGGGGGTTTAGGAGATCTAGAATCTTTTTTTTATGTATATTTTTCTGGGTGTTAATATATATTTACATTTCATCCAAAAAAAAACTAAAGATGCTCTTAGAGAATATGGAGTGTTATTGTAACGTGAGTAAAAAGGGTGCACTTGTGTTTTGATGAAGTGCATTTACCACACTGGTTGTAGATTTGTAGACTTATAGTATGAGCAAAACCCTCCGAATGTAATAAACCAAAGAGTTAATTCCCTATATAGGACTAAAACAATAAACAACTAAACAAGTGCACAAATAGGACTTCCATGTTTCATAGGACTAAAAATGCATTGACTTGACAAAATCACCCTTAATGAAATTCTAAGTAAATTTATAATAAAAAATCCAAAAACTTCTTCTAAAATCCCGCACTACATGCTACGCCGCCGCTGCATTGTGCCAAACCAGCTGCTGCCCTCCAACATCACTGCCAACCGCCGCCCTCCGGCATCACTGCCAGCAATCGCTGCCCTCCGGCGTTACAACCGTCCACCGCCGCCCTCCGGCCCCACTCCCGTCCACCAAATCTGTCATAAAGTTGGCAAAAAAATTAAATCGGTATAAAAGGAAAAATTTTCTGCCATAATATTATTGACAGTATACACTGTGATTGCCATAAAATTGACAAAAAATGTAGACAATATCAAAACTAGGAAAAGGAGATTTTAAAACAAAATTAGAACTTTAATGAAGTAAGAAATTAAAATATACAGTTGACGTGCAAAAAATCGAAAATTGATCAAATATGAACATAACACCAACAGTTTTCATTGAACTAGGCAGTTTGTAGAAAAAAGGAGAATTGTTTCTGCCATAGAATAATCATCAAATTTGCCATAAAGATAGCATTAATTTCAAATTGATGTAAAACTTCTGCCATAACATAATTATAAATATTGCACAGAAATGTCAAAATTTTGGCAAAACACAAAGCCATTGTCCAAAACCGGGAAAACAAAAACTTTAATTGAAATCTGAAATTAATGGAATCACAAAATTTATGAGACCAGTGTCCAAAAATAAAATAAAAATTGATGCTAAAACTCAAAAAATTTACGAAATTCGAAATTTCTTCTGAAAAAACAAAATCAATGAAAAGAAATCTGAAATTTTAGATGAATAACAGAGGAGAAGATGAGGATGAAGAAGAAGAAGGGGAGGAGTGGAAGAAGAAGAAGAAGAAGAAGAAGAAGAAGAAGAAAAGGAGGATCAGACGAAGGACATACCATTCGAGCGAGGATGCAGAAAAGACAGGCAATGGGGGCAGAAGAAGAAGAGGCGGGAAGAGAAGAGGAGCGCGGTTGCAGCGAATAAGAGGGTGGAGAGAACCGGTCTAGAGAGCTCAGGCGAAGTAGCCATGGGAGAGTCGATCGATCGAGAGAGGAGTGCTGCGATTATATTCTAGGGTTTTCCTTTTACTTATATAAGAGGGTATAATGGTAATCTGAAGTCCTATTTGAGGAATTAAAAAGATGTGGTCCTATTTGTGCATTTAAGTTTACTTTTAGTCCTACATATGACAATTACTGTAAACCAAAAAACACAAGTTACTAAGGGTATGTTTGGGAGTTGGGGTTTGGAGGGGAGGGGATGGTTGACAAGAGTTTATGACACTCTCTTTCATGTTTGGGAGTTAAAAAGTATGGAGGGATAGTTCTGGAGGGCTTTTGTAACCCTCCAAAACCCTTCAAATGCTCAATTTTCAAGTTCCCCCAAATTGAGGGATTTTGAAGAATAACTAATTAAATGACAACTTTAGTTCAATTTTAAATAAATATAAACTCAATTATTTGAATTCGTCAAATTATTTGAAGTGATTTTAATTATAATTCATTCAAAACCTTTATCTTTTCAAACTTGATACTCCCAAACAAGAAGAAGAGTTTCTAAAGTTTTCTCTCCCCTTCCCTTCAAACTCCTGAACATACCCTAAAGTTTTCTAGCACCTCCTCTCCTCTTCCATCATCTCTTCCAAGTTCCAACCACTCCTCCTTCCAACAACCCTTCCTCCTCTTCCACCACCTCTCGCCCAGTAGGCCCACTAATAGTATTGGCATCTTGTCTAATTAGACCTTCTTCGAAAGGCCTCTCATAGTCTTATTTGTGCCCAAAAGAAAGTCTGTTATTGCACTTGTTTATATTTTTGGATTGTGTTCATTCTAATCATGGACCTTTATTATCTTGTGTTTAAGCCTTTCAGGTGTCATTGAAAATATATGAGGCAATTAGGGATGGAACCGACCGGCGGTTCTGGGCCAGTCCGGAACCGGGCTCGGTACTGTTTGGGATCGGACCGGGTCCGATTTTCCTGTTCCGGTCTAGGACCGGGTACCCGACCAAGTAAATAAGGACCCAAACCCGGGCTTCGATTTTGGGGACCGGACCGGGCGGTCCCGTTCCTGGTTCTGGGCCCAACGGGCATTTTTTAAAAATTAAATCAGGGGGCTTCCAATAATTTTAAAAAAAGGACCGGACTGGAATCGGTTCCGGACCGGGACCGGCCGGGGAGACCGGACCGGAACCGGAGATAACCGGGTCAGTTCCGG